CATACTTTATATCATTTTATTTTGTGAGTCCCTTGACTAACTTTTAAAGATATACGTATTTTTACTGCTTTTAGTTTCTTTTCTTATTCTTACTTATGGTCTTTGCTCTCCACTGAGAGAGTCCTCTAATATTACTTGTAGGGCTGGTTTAATGGTCATGAATTCCTTTAGCTTTGTTTGTCTGGGAAACTCTTTATCCCTCCTTCTATTCTGAGTGATAGCCTTGATGGAGACAGTATTCTTGGTTGCACTTTTTTTTCCCTTTCAGCACTTTGAATATATCATGCCACTCCCTTCTCGCCTTAAAGTTTCTGTTAAAAAGTCTGCTTATAGCCTTATGAGGTTTCCCTTTTATGTAACTGTCTTCTTTTCTATTTCTTCTTTTACAATTCCCTCATTATCACTACTTTTTGCCATTTTAATTACTATGTATCTTGGTGTGGACCTCCTGATTTTGTTTGGGGAGGTTTGTGTCTCCTGACACAATCTGAATATCTGCTTCCTTCCCCAGATTTGGGAAGTTTTCAGCTTTTATTTCTTTAAATAAATTTTCTGCTCCCTTTTCTCTCTCTTCTTCTATGATCCCTATTATGCAAATATTATTATGCTTGATGGATTTGGTGAGTTCCCTAAGTCTATTCTCATTTTGAATAATTTTTTTCTCTCACCTGCTCAGCTTGATTACTTTCCATTACTCTGTCCTCAGGTTGCTGATTTGTTCTTTTACTTCCTCTGGTCTGCTCTTTATTCCATCTAGTATATTTTTAATTTCATTTATTGTGTTCTTCATCTCTGATTGATTCTTTTTCTGTTTCTTTTTTAAGGACTTTACTGATGTTCTCCACTCTTTTCTCAAGTTCAAGGAATGTCTTTATGATCATTACTTTTAATTTTCTATCAGCCATATCACTAATCTCTGTTTGATTTAAGTCTCTTGCTATGGTTTTGTCCTGTTCTTTCTTACCAAAACTTACCACTTCATGGGTGTCTCCTATGAGTGTTGTGTGCACAAAGTCTGAGCCGTCTTTGCCATCATCTGTAGTGCCTGTTGTGATAACTGTTTCGTTCCTGAATTGTTAGTGGATCAATCTGGGGCTGTCTTGGTCTTGAGTTGAGTCAGATGAATCATTTACCAGACATGCAGTAGCACCAAACTGCAGGACATTTCCCTTGTGTTGTCCCCTTTATTGGTGGGCAGGGCCTATAATCAGAAAAGCTGTCTGCCCCACCCCACTGCTGAGGCCACAAACTAACTGGTGTATAATGGTTATCTTTTTTTCTCCCCATGACAGGAGTCACTTTAGACTGGTGGTGCTGGCCCCTGTTGGCACTACTTGCATACTGCCAGGCTTGTGATCCTGGTTTGAATGGATTCTGGCCAAGGGTATATTGGACGGGGCAGATCCAAATGTGCTGGGGGGATGGGTCACATAGTGCCTGCAAAGTTTGTGCACTAGTGAGAGGGGATGTGCCACCATTGCTGAGACCAGGGCCAGCTGACTGGATCCATAAAGTGTGCATGGGCAAGGCATGCAATTTTAACAAGGTGCATGCCTGTCCTCCATGGGAGGGGATCCGCCGCAGCAGCAACAACTGCCGCAGCAGCCAGAATGAAGCTTCAGAAAGTGTGTGGGTCAGAAGTTTTGTTGTTCATAATGGTTATGCAGGTCTTCAGAGGGAGGGGGCTCATAGAGCTGGGACTGAGGCAAGTATGAGTGGAAAGGGCAAATTCACTGAGGCAGGGGCGGTGAGTGCAGTACTCGTAGCAAGTTAGGTAGTGAGTGTCAGCACCAGGCTGGGTTTTGCAGGTGGCAATGTGTTTATGTTGGGGGATGGGTGAGGTAAATGGTGCCAGCCAGCTCCTTTTTTCCTGGAAGAGTCTCCCAGGGATCTCTGTCCCTTCTAGGACATTCTCTGAGATTAGTAAATAACTCTCCCTCCTATATGCCCCAAACATTTTCAAACTGCTTCTTCTATGCTGTATCTCCACAGACTATTTGTTGTGTTGTCTCTTTAAGGGTGGGGACTTAGCTTCCTATGCCCTTCCTACTCTTCCAGAACTGAGTCCACTGATTTTTAACATTCTAAGCTTTAAGAATGTTGAAAGAACTCACAGAATTCAAAATTCAGCCCCTCTAGTTTTCAAAGCCAAATGCTATGGAGATTAATCTTCCTTGTGTGGCCTCCTCAGTGTGATCCTCTTTTTCTCTCCCTTCTCTGTGCCTGTGGGTCCCTCCATCCAGCAGACAGTCCCATGGTCTGTTTAACTCCCCACTGTGTCTCCTCCCTTCCTATCCTCTTTGATGTGGCCTCTAAATTTAGTTGTGGAGTTTGTTCTGCTATCCTTCGGGTTGTTTTCTGGGTTATTTACACTGATGTGTGTGTTATCTAGTTGTATCCTTGGGATGGTGTGGGCTTAGGGTCCTCCTACTCCATCATCTTCCCTGCCACCAATTCACCCATGCTTCCTTTTTTCTGCTTGAAAAGCTGTTGTGCCCCAAGCTGTGGCAGCAATCTCCCTGTCATGTTGGGATTCATTTCCAGCACAGGGATGGCAGAGGGAAAATTCAGAAAGAGTTTGGAGCTTCGATAACAATGTTGAAAGGCTTCTCCAACACTAGCATGTCCTACCTCTAGACTTCTGATTTGGTATGATAGAAAGTGCCAGTGTTGTTTTATCTGGTTTTAATTGGAGATTTTGTTCTTTCAGTGGCAGGCTTTCTCATTGATGAGCATGGTACTTGATGTCCTTTTTGATTTTTGGAGCAGGCTGAGTCATCCTTTCCCTGAATTTGTGCCAGGATGTAGTGGAATAAAATGGAGTCAGGAGGGATGGGCATCTGAAGCATCCAGATGAGGAAAAAGTCTTCACACTAGTGCAAATCAATTTCTAAGAAGCTTAGAGATTCAAAGCCAAGGAAAATCCTAACGTCCAAGTATACCCAAAGCTGATAATAAAACATGAAACACAAAAGATCACAATTCCCTGGGTGGGACAGCAGAAGTAAGAGTATGGATCAAGTGAGATAATTAAGTGTATTTCCATGAAAAAGATAGGATGCCCAAGGCTGATAGTTATTGGATGCTCTCTTGCCCCCTAAGGAGTGTGTGATCCTGGCTTAAAAGCACAACTTCAGAGACATAAATGAGTCTTCTTTCTAACATCCTAGCATCTTTCACATTCCCCTTTCCCTAAGCTCTGAACCACAGAAGGCATCTTGTGGTAAGAAGCAGATTTGTAGGTTTCTGAATGAAAAGTTATGCTCTGTGATTTTCTACAGAATAGCTCCTATTCTAAAATCACCAGCCAAAGCAACATTCTGCTCAGAAAGTGGTAAAAATATGCTTAGGGAATGTTCATATACTGTGCTTCATATAGTCAAATTAAGAAGCCTTTCCCCAGAGCCTTTTATGAGTTTGGCACTGGACTAGTTACCATCTTTCAGGAATAACAGTGCCATATTGTACAGGAACCTTATAAAATTCACAACAAAATATAGCAAAGAGCACAATTTCTTTTTCTATCAAGTTAGTTTTTCTCTTTAAAGACAATCTTTATCTATCAGAATCAGTAGAATCTGTTTCTCTAATACAACATGAAATACCTATCTATGACGTTTCTCTTCCAATAAGTAGACATCAATAAGGGGTTGGCCAGCCTCTGTAGAGAACAGAGCAAGAACACCCACTTGGAAACAAATTATATGTATTTCATAATCATTTGTCAAATCTTCCTGAAACATCTGAATTCAGCATTAGGTGCTGTATCAGTCAACATTATTAAGTACAAGCAACGGTAATAACTACTCCAAGCAGAAGACATATCAAAAGCTTACTGCCAGCTGTCAGAATCTCTAAATGGTACAAAACCAAGGCTAGAAACTATGTAGCCAATAACAATTCCCCAAATGACACTGAAGAACTGGTCTAGATACCACAGCACTGACTTGGTCATAGTTACCACAGTTTACTCTTCAGACACCATCAAAACCGATCCATGGCACTATCTTTAGATATGCAGTGTGGCTTACCAGGGATGGAACTCTTCTACTGATGGCACCCTTTGCAGAATAGACTCTATGTAGTTACTGGTTTTTGCACTATTAACATAAGATTCAAAAGCTAGGATGTATATGTGATTAGAGGAGACCGGAGACTGGACTACATCCCTGAGCTTCAGTTGGAAGAAAGACCAGGAAAAAAAGCATTTGGAATATTCTTCTTTTATAATAGAAAATGGGATTTGTCTCATTAGGTAGGGGTTTGCTAAACCAGTGATTTGGGGAGGCATTTAGCCATGTCTGTAGACACTTTTTATTGTTTATGCTTTGGCTTCTAAAGCCTCTGGTATTTTTTCCAGTCAATCTCTAAATTCTTATGCCAGTAAATAGCTGAGTGCTGGTCACTTTAAGAGTTCTATTAGAGGATATGCAGCTACTGTGGCCACACCTTGGATTTTAACCAAATCTGCCTGACTTTAAAGTTTATGACTACTCACTGGAATAGTTCATAGTATTTTACATGTATGTAGGCTGCTGGAAATATTTTGGCCACCATAGTTTATTCCTGGATTGCTGAATTTTCAAATCTTTAATTGCCAGTCCATATCCTGTTCTAGGTAATAAAGTGAATGATATAATTGTTCCCTTTAAAACACTGGGAAAAAAGAAGCATGTGGGGCTGCTAGAGAATGGCTTATACTCAGAAAGAAAGAATAGAGCCTGCTAATTGTGCAGGCTCTGGTGCTAGTATTCTTGGTTTCTAATCCTGGCTCTTCAGGTGATTAAGGGGGTAGATTTGATCAAATTACCCATCTTTGTGTCTCATTTTGGTCATCTATAAAGTGTAGATAAATGTACTTCTCACAGAGTTTTGCTGTGAAAATTAAATTAATTAATGCACAGGAAGCACTCAGAATAGTGCCTAGAATGTGATAAAAACTCAAAGAGTGTAGATTATTATTACTTTCTTGAAGTACTGATTTTCATTTTTTTTCATAGTGAAAATATCACTTCAGATGGAATCTTAACGGAAAGCCAGAAATGAATGGAAACTGAATAATAGCAGAGCTGCTTTGGTAAGTAAGATGGGAGTCCTCATTTCACTCAGTCTCAGGCTTCCTTTAAGGCATCACCGGTAGATGACAATAGTTCAGATTTGTCAAACTTTTACCCTGTACCAGGTTCTGTGCTCAGTTGGCTTGCATTTTTTTCATGTGATAAGTACAATGACCCTGTTAAGTAGGTATTGTCTCCATATACAGATTTACTTATTTATAGGTGATGAGACTGAGGCTTTTTGAGTGTTAATAACTTGCAACGAGTCACATATCCAGTAACTGTCAAAGTCAAGACTGGAGCCAAATCTGCCTGATGGCCCTGAATCGAATATTCTTAACCAACTCATTGCGCTGCCTACCCTTGTGGATCAGGTGCCTGGTTTTAACACAATTATAGATGAATTGGGCCATTCTTGCTTCTTGCAGTGATGAAATATTGGTTGGACTCCTGGGTATTACCCAGGAATCAATTAGGAGAACACTTTTTTATATGAATTTGGGAATCTCTACTGTATTAAATTATGTGAGATATGAATCCAAAGAAGCTGAATTCACTGGGATGAGTATAACTATTAGGTATGGAAGTGAAACAAATACTATGCATGATTATAAAAAGATAGCTAATTAACAAAGAAGCAATAAAACGCTCAGATTAGTTTAGAAGGGCAAAATGTTATTGATGCTTATTTCTTTGGGTCAATGTTCAGAATCATAAAATTCACAAAAAGCTACTGGAAACTCCTATGTGGAGAAATTTCTACTTGTCTGACAGCCAGAACCTTTATGATATCTGGTGATGGGCAATCTCCTGCTCAGAGTAGATGTTTTCCTGGTAGTCCTCTTGATAATCATTTATCCCCTTTCTATAATGAATCCTTCAGCAGGAAGCAACTTTTTTATTCTTAGGTGCTGCCATCTTGTGTTCTATTTCCCACTGATATCTGGAAACTTGTCAGGAGAAGGCACTGTTTTTCCTTTGTTCCTCCTTCCTGCTGCTACTTAGGTGGCAGGAAAGAAATTTCCAGACTTCCTGCATCATAAAGATCACAAAGTGTATGACTGTTTACTATCTCCCCAACCCAGGCCTAAAGGGACAATTGGAAGAAATTGTTGCAAGACCATGGACAGAGTCAAATAAGATGTTCATTGTGATAGGAGAAAAGATCTTTCATTAAGATACACAAATTACTTGAAAGGAGCTAGCTAGTGGAAGCAGTACCATGATCTTACTCTTTGAAAACTGCTCAGGGGTACCCTTTGGGTAAATCCAAGTGGAAGCCAGAAGGTACTAAAAGCTATTGATGTAGCTCATGCAAGTCAGCCTCTGAAGGCAGCAATCAAGAAGAAGATGGGTAAAAAGTAGAATGAATGAAGAAATGTGTTCACGTGCACATACACACACAGAAATACACACTTAATGAAAATCCACTTCATGCCAGTTAGGGTGCAAAATTCACTCCTTGGCTACAATGACGGAATTTTTTTATTATCAGTGGAGCTGGCCTTGGCAAAAAGTTTCTTGTATTTCATTGCACTTTGTTATAACTCTAAATCAGCCAGCTAGAAAAATTGAAAAGAAAGCTAATTTACTTCTCAAAATTTGCAAATACTTGTATCAGATGAAACTGCAGAACAAAAATCTCATTAGTCCCCCAAGAGACAATTTTTGTAATAGCATAATTAAAGCTGTCAGTCATAGGTACTGGAGCAAATGATCAGAAATATATTATCCCTTTAGTCCTTTAGCATGGATGCTTTTCAGACCAACCCATACCTGTTGCATAGATTGGATACATTTTTATTCTACATATTAACTTTAGTGATCTACAGTAGGTCTAGCTGTATAGTGAACCATGATATATTCTTATCATGAGTAGTCCAGCTAATTTAAGTGCACTTCCAAGGGAATTCAAGCACATGATCCCTAAGGCTGAGAAAAAAATGTGTTTCTTTCTGGATATCATGTATATATAGCTGTGGGTTTTCATTAAAGGAGATTTTCAAGGTTCCTGCTAAAGGGGTCTAAGTTTCAGAAGTTACATCATTACAGTGAATTCAACTTTACTGTCCCTGAAGCTTTCAACATTTTTGAGTTTTCAAAATGGTCATTAATGCATGTTAACTTGTTAAATAAATTATGAGAGAACTTTGCCGCTGAATTGAGGGTGTCAGGGAATTTGTTTGTTGAGGTGGCTGTAAAGGTTGAGGTATCCATTCCCCTGAAACCAGGCCCTCTGTAGTTAACTCTTGGAGGGATACTGAACCAAGAAGAATTCTCTGCTCTGCCTTCCATCTCAGACTCCCAGCTCTTAGGTATTATGGACATCTCTCCTGGCTCCAGTCCCTCAAGGACATAACTCTGCTCATTAAAACCAGTAGCACTATATCTGGTCAGAAACAGGAAAGGAACCATTTAACCCAGAGGAGGTGATCTATCAGGGAAGTTCAGAGAGGAAGAACCTTACAAAACCACCCCAACTTCTCAGGACCAGCATTCTTAGTCTATTTTGGCTGATATAACAAAATACCCTAGACTGGGTAGCTCAGAAACAATAGTGAGAAGTTAACTATGACAAAAATGCCTTTCTCACAGTTTTTGAGGCTGGAAGTTTGAGATCAAACACCTGTTATGTTAAGTCATTATTTGTTAAAGTTTCAGTTTTGTATAGGTAAATAAATTCTTAAATTTCCATGAGACTCTGAAGATCTCTTGTTCTTTACCTTAAAAAGTCACATAAAGATGATTGTGCACCCAAAATAGTCACTTCTACTAACTAAAAAAAAAATATTTCATTGATAAGTATCAATGTAATTGACAATTCTTATCGAAGTTGTGGGTTTTTTTTTTTGGTATTAAAGGTATCTCAAACTCTCTCAACTGATAAAAGACCACACTAAAAATCTTTACAAAGGCATATTTTGGAAATTTCATTGACATATACCCCCTTATGAATGAATAAAATGATATAAATTTAACTGTAAAGTTTACCAAAACAAACTTAGAAGCACCCAAGAAACACATCCTTGATAAGGAAGTGAATAGAGACATAATCCCTAGGCATATGGGGATTGAGAGACAAAAATCTAAAAAGGAAAAAAGTCTAATATTCATCATTGATTTGAAGGTTGCTATTTTGGGTATCAATGCATTATGCATCTGGCCATTGTGGTACATAATAAAATGACGGACTACAACTGGTTGGACTCTCTGGTCATTTGAGTGCTTTGGTTTTAATTAATCAGATATTGGAGTACATAATTTAATTATGACATTTTATTGACCTGTGCCAACAACAAAGGCACCATTTCCCAAACAGTATGTTAAGAATAAAATAAATGATTAGAATATTTTGATCATTAGTGTATTTAAAATTATTTCTCCATCTTTTATTTACATTTTGTTCAATAATGAATAGATAAGGCAGCATCTGGGTGGCTCAGTCGGTTATGCATCTGAATCTTGATTTCAGCACAGGTCATGATCTCTCGGTTGTGGGATTGAGCCTTGGCATGGAGCCTAATTGAGATTCTCTTTCTCCTTATCTTTTTGCCCCTCCCCAGCTCGTGTGCTTTCTCTCTCTCTCAAAATAAATAAATGAGCATTAAACAAAATAATGAACAGATAACGAATAGCAGATCTGTGCTGCACCTGCTATGGAGGTCTCAATCGTGTACAGCCAGGATATGTTGCACATTCAGCAGCTTCACGCAGCTGCCAAGATAGGAGGGAATATGGGAATAGAAATGATTCTCTTTGACTTTAAGTATAGTTTATACCTTTCATTTTGCCTCCTATCTCCAAATATGAGTATGTTGCGCAGTTGGATAGGTTTTTTCCACAGAATGACTATGTTGTGGCCTACATCCTATGGCTCCTTGCCATTTTCACTGCTCCATTGTTTACCATAGTTGTAATATACGGCTGCCTTTTTGGTTTTGTCCAGTAGAAACCCAGGTATCACATTCTGGTATTTTGGGGGATTCTGGTAACAAATACCTGATGGAAATTGAAGCTTGAATGGCAATATTATTTTATTCCTTTAAATGGATTTGGTTTTTCATATCTTCATCATTTTTATGTAAAGCAGGAGAACCAAAAGGGGGAGAAGGAGACCGAGACAAAGAAAGAGAAAGAGGGAAAGAACAATGAAATAATTAGGAGGAAGAGAGCCAGTTTCATTCTCTTATGAGCAAGTGATCTTGGGAATCGTGATAAATTGAGCCTCACTATCCTCATTTGAGAAATGGAGAATATAATATCTCAGAGTGTTTGTTATAAAATTGATATTTTTTAAATAAAAAAATGATTTTTTTTAAACCCCTCCTTTGGTTTCAGCTTCCTCAACTACGGAGGGGGTGTATTCTAGGTGACCTGAAGTGCCCCAGTGTTCAGCTGTGTCACTGGGCTGTGTATAATCAGGTTCAGACTGTGAGGCTGTTTCTATTTTAGGCCTAAAGCTTTACCACTTTTTGGTTTGCATGACTAATACAGCTTCTGGCAATACACATGATTAACACATAATAACAAGAGAGAGAGAGAGAGAGCATGGGGGGGGGGAGAGAAGTAGAGAGATTGAGTATAACTGGATATATAGAGAGGATTCTGAGTTTCCATTGAGTTCTCATGTTCCTTCTTCATGAATACACATATATTTAATTGCAGTCTTGTCTGCTGTATATTTTAATCTTTTTATATCACAAAGTTTGGCTAATCTGTATATATCACTTTCTACTTTCACATGTATAAAAGTCACTTCCCAAAACCTTAGAAATGCATATTCTTTGATTTTTCTATACATTTATAGTCTATTGAGATAGATCTTGAGTAAAAGTAGCTAAACTTGAATGTTATTCATTTATTAAGGCTAGCTAGCCTTTTACTGCCTACTTTATCTTGCTGTCAAACATGCTATTGACTGTAACCTATCATGGGCAAATGTTTTTTAAACTAAGTCAATTATATATAACTTATACTATTTAAATTTATTTTCTTTTTACTAAAAACGACTCGCCTATTT